GGGGTTCCGCCGAGCCAGCGGCCGGTGCAGCTCGAGCGCCCGAACCGACTCCCCCGCCTCCTGCAGCCTCGACCGACGCCTGCCGGGTCGGGTTTATCTTCTAACTGCATCCACTGGGTCCCTCGGATCGCTTTGCGTCACTGCAGATACTGTGACATTTTCAAAATGAAAATCCGATCATGTCACCAGCCCCTGCTTAAAGCCTTTCAAATGGCTTCCCTCTTGCGGGGTAAATCCTTAAGGCGGCAGCCACAGGGTTCTGAGCCAGCTTCATCCTCTGCCCTCCATCTCTGCAGCTGGGCCTCACGATCCTTTCTGCCATGCGACTTCTGCACACACTGTTCCCTCTACCTGAAATTCTGTTCCCCTTCTCGACTTACTCATATTTCAGCTCTCTTCTCAGATAAACCTTCTCTGACCTCCTAGACCAGATTCATTTCCCCTTTTGTGTTATCCCAGGGCACTTTGTTCCTTTTCTTCATTGCATCTATCACAATTTGAAATGACATATTCATTTTGTGCTTATTTCATTAAAGTCACTTAATGAAAGCTATGTTTTAAGAGAAGAAAGAAAATCTGCTCTGGGACAGGACTGGGTCTCCTGTCCTGCACCTAGGCCCAGGCACCCTCCTCCCTGCAGGGCAGAGAACCTCTCCATGGTGTCTGTGCAGTGAGCTCTTCTCAGCTTCTACTTACCGAACGAAGCCTGATCCCCCTCACTCCCTTCTTCTTAGGAGGAGATGAGGAGGGTTGGGACTCGGTTTGCAATCAGAGAGAATGGGGTCAGAGTTGGTACTGACCCTACTGATAAGAAAACACTGGCTGGCGTGAGGGAAGTTAGGGCTTCTTAAATTAAGTTTTTGACTAAGGCAGCCCTAGGAAGGAGACTGGGGCAAATTTAGCCCTCAGGGCACACACGTGAGATTCTAGGAGGTCCCTTCCATACTCCCTACTTTACCAAGTAAAGCAAGCAACTGGCTACAACCTTTTTCATGTCCTCTCCCATTAAAAACAAAATAAAACTAACAGGGATTCATCTTTGGATCATAATATATTTAAAATACTCTTGTCTTTCCCTCATCTCTTTCTGCTGCTTTTTTCCCCCCTCTCCATCTTTTGCTATTTTTTAGACCTCAGCCCCATTTCTACACAGGAGCTGAACCCTAGCTAGTCTTCCTTTTTCCCTTACCCACCTCAAGTTCCCTTTGCCTTTAGCCAGGTGACCAAATGAGGTGACCCAGATCCTCACTCCTAAAGCCACTCTGAGCCTGGGTGGTCTAGAGTTGTGCAGATCTTCCTGTGTCACACAGCTATGTCAGATACTTAGTTGTTCTGTGGGCCCAGAGCTGCTCCTCCCCGCCTCTCCTGTGGACCCCATCTCTCCCAGATCTAACCGTGTGGGCCAAAAGGGAGACTGATGAGTCCAGAGATGGGAACCCCATTCCAGGTGAGTTAGCATCCTTCTCTGGGACTTTCTTTTTTCTTTTTTTTTTTTAAGATTTTATTTATTTATTTGACAGAGAGAGACACAGTGAGAGAGGGAACACAAGCAGGGGGAGTAGGAGAGGGAGAAGCAGGCTTCCCGCTGAGCTGGGAGCCCGGTGCCGGGCTCTATCCCAGGACCCTGGGATCATGACCTGAGCCGAAGGCAGACGCCCAACGACTGAGCCACCCAGGCGCCCCTCTCTGGGACTTTCTGAAATAAAAGGAAGACGAAGCAGGGAAGACATATGGGTAGGGCTGCAGCAATCACATTCCCTGCCAAGTGGAGTCCGTTTGTAGTAGGAGAAAATGATGCTCATGCACGGAAGCAGAGACAAAAGATGGAAGTTCTGGTGATGTTCCAGTCCCTACTTCCTGAGGCCTATTTCTATATCTTCCAATAAGGCCCTTATTTTGCCAAGCCTAACTTGAGTGGAATTTCCTTCACTGGCAATCAAAGAATCCTGATTAATACAAGAGCACAAGGTGGTGACCCAGGGGTCCCTCTCATATACCTCTCAGCCCTCATTAAGGAATAGCAACTCTGTTTCCCCATGGTAGCCATTATCAATCCAGCTTACACAGCGACCTCCTTTGAAATGCAGTGGAATCATCTTAGTGTTCCCTCATTAGAAACATTCCTCCCTAGACGCTGAAACCTGCTGACCTGTAGAGGCTAGAATGGTGGAGACAGGAAGTAAACTCTGGGAGAAAGTCATCAGGTACAATCACATAGCGTGCCACACTTACCTCTGCCACTTCGTATGTATTCTGGCCACAGATGACAAAGAATTCTATACTGATTGTTGACTTAGAGCCTCTATTGTACTCTGCGGGGCAGCAGACAGCCTGGCTTAGCTGAGTCATCAGTCGGTCTTTCCTTTGTTCTGTTAAGCTAGTTGTTTCTAAATAACATCATCTCTGAGAAGTCAAGTGAATTCCAAGGGCGTCAGATTGCAGCCTCTCTTCTCTTAGTCAAGGGTAAAGTTGTGTGGGATGCTCTAGTACTGTATAATTAACCCAGCAAGTGCTCAGACTGTGGTCCTGGGCACTCCATACTTTTCAAAAGCCGGGAGCCTTGAGAACAAAAAGCCCCAGGAAGGCAGGGGCGTCCATGTCTGCATGATCACAGAAAAGCAGATGTACAGAGGTCTGTGATTCATTCACCAGAAGATTCCACAGTCAGGATGCCAAGGAATCAGTCTTTCCAGGTACAGCGGTAAAGTGTCCACCTAGCTACATAGATTTCAGGGACTTAATTGGCAGGGACACAGAAATCACCAGAGATGGCCAGTAGCAGCCCAGATAGGCTGGGTAGACATCCTGGCAGGCAGATAGATGTCAGAGCCAAGAGAGGCTAGCAGTGAGTAGCCAGATCCAGGCCCTAAGGGCCTAGAGCGTCAGGCAAGGAGACAAGGGAGATGAGAGGTATTTCTACCCCAGGATATGGGACAGGCAAGAGTTCCTCTCCAGGTGGAGAATTTCTCAGTGTCAGTACTCCCAGAAAGAAAGGGGTGGGGGTAGAATCAAGGTGTTTCAACCTCAAAGACTTTGCCCCTTCCTGTCCCTTCACTCACATCCAGCAGAGTGCTCTCCTCACGTGCTGTCACGTGCTGTGTTGGGGATTCAGAGCAGAATCAGGACTGATGGGGGCCTTGTGTGACTCCCTGTTTAGAAAGGGAAATAGAAAAAAGTGGGTCAAAGGAATGAGTACAAAATAGAGTAAGGAAAGCCTTCACAGGCTTTAAAGGATGAATAGAAGCTCCCCAAGAGAAAGCGGGTGAAGGCCGAGGAGACTCTATGTGGTGTGTATGCTCAGAGTGTGGTCAGGGTGACTGGAGCTTGAGGGGAAATGGAGGTAGGAGATGAGGTTAGAGGGTAAAGTTGGCCCAGTTGTGAAAGGCCTTGACCACCATTCCAAGGAGCCTGAGCCTCATCCTGCAGGCAGCAGGAAAATAACTGAGCAAGCCCCCAAAGCTTTCTTATCAGAACAAAGCACAGGCCTCTAGCCCTGGAGGACAAGCTCTATTGCTACCTGCTTTCTTCTCTTTCCCCGAGCTCATAGCACCTGCCAGCTTCCCCACATGGCTTTGGGAACTTAGGCAAATCAAAGCATTTTAAACTTTTCAGAGTAAATAAAGATATTATGCCTTGAACATGGTTAAATAACATTGTAATTGTGAACATTGTTCCTTGGACTCCCAAGACTAGGTACAGCCCTGGAGGACCTTTGGTGTCCCAGAGAGTCCTGAAGGCAGAGTAGAAGGAAAATCATTCCCCAGAATTAGCTCATCCTGGGAAAGAAGGCCT